AGATCTGAACTGCGACGGTATTGAGGACCGAGTTGAAGTCGGCTTGAGATCCGGCTCCAGCAAGTGAACTCGTGATGGTATTTTTCGCCAGAAGGAAGCTTTCTTCTTCTTGCCTTGTGACGTCTTGGAGATGAACGTTGGTCTTTAACCAATCCTTCATCTTGTCTGATTCTAGGTAGGAATAATCGAATTTTTGCTTCCAAATATCTGTTCTGCACACAATGGTATAAAGATGTGCCAGGAAGGTGTCTTTGTACCATTTGTAGTTACTCATCTTTCGACATCGAAGGCTTAAAAGAGCTTCGGCGTTGAGATCTGAGTAGATTTGAGTGCTACCAATAAAGTTCTTGGTCATAGCATAGATTAATTGATTTACCATATCTGGCTCATCAACTTGCATAGCACTAAAACCTTCCTGTTTGACAACTGTTTTAGTTGCCGTTAGGATCCTGGTTCTGGCTTCTTCGGTTAGCTGGTTATGCCACCAGCTTCTTAGGTTTCCAGAGAGACCCGAAATAAGGATCTGAGCTGTCTATAAAACCTGTTTCTTGGTGCTGAAGGCAGTGGCTACCATCATCATTTCTTGAAACGTGTTCATCATTTGAGCTTCAGAATACCCATCGATATTCCAAGTGATTATAGATCCATCATAAGATCGTTGATCATGGCGGAGATCGTCCCATCCTAAATTCGGAGGAGAGGGTTTAGGATAATGACTCTTCATTTCCGTATGCATTGTGACCGGAAGTATTGTTGAGGAAGAAGCTTGAGAAGTAGTAGGCATGGTAGCCACTACATTTATACTCTTGGCCGCTTCATTCTTCTGGGAAGATTCTCCTTTGTTGATGGACAAAGAGGAAAGTCTTCTGTTGATCTCAGCAAAAAGATCTGAGGGGTCTTCTTTGAGAGGTCCAATCTTAAAACTGTTTGGTTGGAAGATTGGCTGGCAGGGGTCTACTGGTGGGATCCCTGGTATTTTTGAGACGGTAGGAAGAACTGGATTCTCAATTCTCTCTACAGTTTTAGATACCTCAGAGAGGATCTTGTTTGAGTAGTTGAGTTGATGCTGGATGTTCTTGATTTCTCGAACACCAACTTTCTGGACTTTGTCTTCATCGATTGTTTTATAGGGTGAAGACACCATCTTTATGGCAGATATTACTGGGTGAGAGAAGGTGGCTTCTTCTTCCGGAGGGAAGGTGGAAGTTATCTCTTTGCCTCTGGCTGTGACCCAGACAGTGCCATTTCTTATGACTGCTACCTGTTCATCCGCCTGGAGTTTTTTTACTAGAGCTTCGTTCTTAACTAGCTCTCGTTCTTGTATCTTGAAGTGAAATCGCCAAAGGTCATGACGGGTTTCCTTGTTTCTTTTGGTGCAGCAATCCACATGTCGATGTACTTGCTGTATAGTTCTTCATAACGTTTCTCAAGTTTTGAGATTACGTTTATTTGATTGAAGGCGGATTCAGTTCTCCTTTCCATGTCAGATTGGGTTGGAGAGAGTGATTCTTCTTCGTAGGGGACGTCAGGGATTGGATGAGTGAAATCTACTGACGCTCGCATAGATTCAGATCTTTTAAAAGATCTGTTAGCAGTATTTACCGACCTAGTATCTGAAGATATACTTGGGCGGCTACTCATAACTTCTCTAATTCTGGGATTGGGAATAATATATATATATATATATATATATATATATATATTATATAGAAAGGCCAAAAGTAGCAAAAATAAGATTTTAAAAGTGAATTTTGTTTTAATAATAAAGTTTTAAATTAAAGCTTTAGAAAACAAAATTAAAAAAATCTTTTTAAAAAGAAAAAGAAGTTTTTAAATCTATCCGTTCTAAAATAACTTTTTTTAATAATTATTTCAAAATTCCAATGACAAAGATTGAAAATGATAATCTTCCACTATTCTCGAGGTATTTATAAAGTATTATTAATTTTTAATGCATATAAATTATAAAGATAAAATTACTTGGTTAATTAAAAATTATTTATATTTAGGAATTAAACTTTTATTTTACTGTTTATTAAAATTCGACAACCCAATATTTGGAAAAAAAAATTATTTTATATTTATCTATTTTAGTTGTAAGATAATTTAATGGTCGCTGGAAGGAAATCTTTACTAATAATTACTTGGAGATACTAGACAAAAAAATATTGAAGGTTTGATAAGTAAGAATAATAAATGGTAAAATATAGATTTGTTTAAAAAAAACAACTGAGTGTTAGATTTTTAAGGGTGGGGAGTTAAAATTTAGAGTAAAATACATTTTTAGTCCCTAAATTTGGAGATAGGCTTTTATTTGGTCCTTAAGTTTCAAAAAGTGACAGTTTAATCCTCGACCTTTAGAAATATTGACGTGACTTGATAAAAAAAATGACACACGTGTTAAAAATAATATAAAATTAAATAAATATCCAAATCAGCAAGTCAACATTCYGTTGGTGTCACTAACGGAAGTTTAACCCAATGACCTTTTAGAAAAAGGTTGGGGAACAAACTGTCGAATTTTGAAACTTAGAGATCAAATAGAAACCTATTTCAAACCTGGATTTTTAATCTCTCTCTAAAAAACCTAATTTGTGATTCATTTTCTTCTAATTTGTAAAACYTTTTCACTTTTTGTCTTTATAAAATTACTAAAATATCCCTATTTTTTCCGTTGGTTCTTTCTTTTCTACTCAAAACATGTAGGAGGAAAAAAAGTGTTGACGAGTATTTATCGTTTCTTCTATAAATTTTAAAATGAAAAAGGAAAGTTTTACTCCAAAGATAAAGATTTAAATTATGGTGTCATTTTAATACTATTATATTATAATGCATTTTATAAGTCATATTAATGAAATAAGATTTTCATTTATGTTTTTTTTAACGAAAATAACAACAAACAAGAAAACAATTATTTTCCTAAATTTGTAAATAATCTTTGAAGATATTTCTTAAAAATAAAATGGTTATAAAACGTATATACACCTTAGGGCATATTGAGTAATGTTCCATTTTTTAATTCTCATTTCTAATTTGTTTTAGTAACAAAAGCATATAAGCATTTAGTAATTGTTTCCATTTCTTGTTTCCATAGTTATGTAGAAATTTTGAAAACAAAATCAAGTTTTTATTTCTTGTTCTTGTTCACAGTTTTCAATTTTTATATTTCTATTTTTTCCAAAACATAGAATAAAGTATTACTTTATCATTTTTTATTTTTAAATATACAATAATAAAAATAAATAAATAAAACTTTTACTACTTTTATTTTAAATTTTTAGATAACAAGAAAGAAGAAATAGTTGTCGTTTCTACTAAAGAGATAACAAGAAATAAGAAATAGTTATCAAATACAATTTTGTTTTTCTTGATTGAAAAAGAGGAAACAAAAAATAAGAAACAATAACATTACTAAATTGACCCTCAAAAGCCAGAAAAAATAAACAAAAACGTTGTCAAACAACCCCATAAGACAGCCAGAAAACAAGAAATAAAAGAAGTGAAAGGAAGCATTAAGATATTACCTCAAGTAACCTACTGCCTCCCTATAAGCTTTATATGATGAGACAAATTTAACAGCTACTGTCTCAATGCCTATTGTTGTTGCTTTTTGGGGTCAGTTGAAACATCAAATCCAGGTGGAATGAAGACTACATCATCCCATGTTGAAATTGAATTATCCTATCAGTGAAACAAAATTACAACTTAGATCATAGGTTTACAACTACTTTTTTTCTATTAACAAGCATTTAGAGATATATATATATATATATATATATAAAAAGAGAGACAGCGAGTTCTTAAAAATAAACGGCTAAATTACAAAAATACACCTGCATTGTGCCCCTTGTTTCAAAAATACACGTATCCTTCCTTCCTTTCAACACGTTCAATACTATCCTTGACCTTTCATAAACATTTCAAACATACCCTTTGAGCAAACATCCGTTAATATTTTGAACAAAAAGTTGATGTGACATCATCTAGAACGACGTGACACTTAACAGATACGGATGTTTGCTCAAAGAGTATTTTTGAAACGTTTATGAAATGTCAAATGTAGTATTGAAACTTTTAAAATGATGAGGGCATTTTTTGTAATTTAGCCAAAATAAAAATGAGATAGGCAGTACGATCCTCACCTTCATTCCTTTTATTACTTCTTCAAAACCAGCAACCTACAAGGTTCAGACACAATTTTATAAGTTCCACTCCACAGAACACACTTCACTAGTGACAAGCAGAGAGAGCTATACCTGGATATCGCCCGGTCGGAAGGCAGGATTCACTTGATTTTGTTCTCGAGATGCTCTTTGGAGAGATTTTTCTAAATCCTCCTAAAAGAATCCAAGAATGAGGGTTGTAAAAATGAATCCATGTAAAGATGATAGTCCAGGTCAAGAAAACTACTCTTCTTGACTAACCTTTCTGAAAAATGCAGGACGGTAGCTCTTGTTTTGGCTCCTCAGTATCAAGCTTTTCGACTATGCAAAGTGCATAAAATTGAAAACGTCAGTCTCAAATGTTTAGATCCTCAAAAAAGGTAATATAAACAAGATAAAAAACAAAATCCCAACATAATAATGGTTGAGGTGAGGAGAATGGAACTTAATATAATTATGCTTCATTAAGTCTAAAATCGAGAGTATTGTTCAACCCTATTAATTACTATATTTTATACTTTTATAGTCAAGAAATTCAAGGGTATATTCAAGTCCCCAGATAGGCAGCTCAATAGAGTTCTGAATCCATGATGACTTGGCAGAATCCAGAGGTAGCCGATTACATAAAACTTCTCCCGTTGAACAAAACTACATAAGTATAGAAAAACTATAATAATGAAAGAGTGGAGATAATGTACACCAAGAGATAGCCAAAAATGCTATAGTATAAAAACAAAAACGATAAAAATTCTCTCTGTCGCTGAAGATCCTTTGGTCCCTCTTTTCATACAATGCTGCCCAAAAAAAACACTCAAGTGTATCTAAAGAAGCTTCTTTTTCCTTTATAAAGGGGTTGCCTGATAAGGTAAGAGAAAGGAGAGTTTTCAGGTCATTTGGAAGAGCCGTAGTGGAAGGGCTCCAGGATAATCTTCCAGAATGTAGCTGCAAGGCTGCAAGAAATGAAGATTTGGCTTTGCATAATTGCATCTCTGCATTCTTCTCGCAAAGCGACAGTATTGATGTGTATTTTAAGGATCAGCAGCATTGACAACTCTCTTAGCTTCTCATCATTTCCCTAACAGTGGGGATTCTTGGAGGTGGAATCTTGAAATGGGAGTATGCTTTTCTACAAAATCCTTGGTTAGCAGGGTCCTCATCAAACACCAGCGATATATACAAAAAAACTCCTTGGCTGGCCTTATCTCCAAACTGGTGTAGCTTGCGTAAAATGGTTCATGAAACTCATCGAAAATCTGAGCACATTTCCTTCCAGCTTTCAGTTGGTCTTTGGCTCTCCCTTCAAAATTCAAGAGTGGTTTACCCCCATCTTAAAGGAGCATCCCTTCAAGCAAGAGAAGAAATCTCTCTGGTTCATCAACAGAGCCTTTATATGGATCATTTGAAATGAACAAAATGTTAGAAGATAAAGAAAAATCCTATGAAGCAGTGGTGGAACATATCTTATTCTTAGCCTTATTTTGGAGCAAAAAGGTTCCTTGTTTTCGTAATTATAGCTTGAATTCTCATATATCCAATTGGAGATGTTTTCTTTTAACTTCATTGGATTCATTTTCTCCCTTTTGTTAATTTCATATCATCAATTAAACTTGTTTCCCTTCCCAAAAAAAAAAAGATAGGACAACCTAAAGTGACATCCAATAGTTGGAGTGGGACCAGTGAAACCTTTCAAAAGAAAGATTTAAGAGGAGGAAGGTCAGAGGCAATCAAAAGATTGAGGAAGAGGAGAACAAATTTCCTTTATGGCTGAAATAGGCCAAATGCAAGGAGGCATAGATTATTGTTCATCCCTTGATACTTAAATGGAAATCAAAGAAGCGGAAAGATTTTCTTTTGTTTTCCTTTCATTCCTGTTTCGAGCTTTGAAAAGGAAGGGAGTTTTGGTTCAAGCTTCAAAGGCCATTAGGACAAGCTGAAGAAAGTTGTTGGGTGACTTTTCTTTTCTCCCTATAATGCACAAGTTTTTCTCCTTCTAATAATTTTAGTTCATCTCGACTAATCCACTATGACTCACCATGAACTTTAAGCTGGTGTGACGACAATGCCGACCATGGCATGCACTTCTTTATGTGCACGACATTGACTTGGGCTGAGGCATTGAAGGCAAGAGGCACCTTGCCTCTAGCCATAGGACATTGAGGCACTCGCCTCAATAACACTGCTTCTAAAGAGTCTTAGTTTCAATTGTTGAAAGAAAGCAGGGGAAAAGACAGGCCGCCTTTTCCTTGCTTCGTTTTCTAGCTGCAATATTCTTTTTGTTATTGTGGTACACAATTACAGTCATATTTTTTTGTTTATTTGGTTTTATGTTGTTTGCTTCTATGCTTTTTTACAGGGATACTGCTCTTGATCAAATCTCAGAAACCAATTTCTGGAGTTTCAAGATGTCAAACTCCTATCAATATCACAAATAATTAAACATAGTTCAGCGGTAATTGGCACTTGTTTATGATCAAAAGGTCGTTATTTCAAATCCCCGCCCTCACTTCTTATCACAAATAATTAACCACCTTATGGACTTTTAAATAAAAACTAAATTCTCAAAAGTGGTACAATTATGCATCATATACAATCATGATTAGAAAAAGGAAAAAAAAAACAAAAGAAAAAGGATTGGCTCATATATCTGAATATGGGTTTGCTTTTCTAAAATGTTAATATACCAACTGATCTTTCAACTCAATGTTCAGCAATACATCATTGGTGAAGAAAATGACGACATTCAAATTTTACTTCCCAATTGAAAGGTTAACACTTGGCAGATTTGTAGCAGTACATCTTTCTCCACCATTGAAAGTGAATGGCATAGTTGCCAACAATGGCTATGAATGAATAACAATTTTCATTAAGGAATGCCTAGAAATTAACCTGGAAAACAGGAACCCCAGAAAATCCATCAGCAGAAATACCAGCCTTTTTTCTCTTTCCTACGCAGGCAAATTAATATTGTCAATGGACAGACAACTACACGATAAGTAAAGATGATTGCCAGAGCAGAGATTGAATTTTGGGCAACAGCCACAAGGGGATAAACAAAGACAGCAAATGATGATATACAGGCAAAACAGATATCGTGATTTGACATTTTTAAGGGAAATGAAAACAATATCAGAGAAACTAAATTCAAACACCATTCCCGCTTTCCAACAAACACAACAGAGAGAGAGGGAGGGGGGAGGAGAGAACTTACACTCAGAGAGTTTCTCACCTGAGAGCACTCCGGAATCAATCTGAAGGCCACCCCATTAACATGGAGCTGAAAAACCTACAAAAACAAGCAACAAATTTGAAAGAAGTATTTGGGTCATTTCCATGGAAACTCATTTCGTCGAGGGAAAGAGGGGAGAGTTGCAGAAGATTGAGCTGCGATTTCTTCGCAAGTGAGACAATGAATTAGACTGAGCGAGCATGATGCAGGGGAGGGGGTCTTTTCAAAATTATATGATTTGAGAATTTCATTATTTTAATGATATAATTTGAGTTAAATTATCCTTTTCACTTTTTCAATATAATTTTTAGGTTAAAATAGTATTTTCCTCTTGGTTTATTTTAGTCTTAGACTTTAAACATGTTTATTTTGATCTATGTAAATTCATCTTAGTCATTGAACCTTGAAAATGTTCATTTTAGTCCCTATACTTTTAAAAAGTGATCATTTTAGTCTATATTTGCAATATTTCAACACAAATTTTACAAATAATGAAAACTGTTAAGTATTGTTTACATTTTAAAAAATATATATTGATTGTACTGTGGTGTTGTAATTGTGTTAGAAAAAATTAGATTTAAAATAAAAACAAATGGACCAAAATGATCATTTTTTAAAAGTACATGTTTCAAAATAAACATTTTCAGAGTACAGGGACTAAAATGTCAAAGCGAGCATAGCTAACGGTAATTGGCATATACCACAAACCATGAAATTGTGAGTTCAAATGTCCTATTCAACATGTTGTACTAAAAAAAGTACGAACTAAAATAACCAATATTTAAAGTACAAATACCAAAATGAACATTTTAGAAGTATAAAGATTAAAATGAACTATGACTGAAAGCATAGGGTCCAAACTAGTATTTTAACCTAATTTTCATGATTTAGTCTGTAATTTGAGTAAGGATTTGAATATCCGAGGTATGTATTAACCAATCAAGTTGTCCAAATTAACAACAATTATCCCATGTATGTAAATAAGAAGTGAGTCTCCACCCTACTCATCTTGTGTCTAAAGAAAATGTATCAGGTAAGAAACTTGTTATTGTACCATAATAATTTATAGTTTAAAATTTCATGATTTATTGTAGATTAAACTTGTATTCTCACGATTTAAAAATGTTGGGTTATAACACTATTTTTATCCTTTTACTTTCCAGCTTTAGCTTATTTTACTTCTGGTCCATATACTTTTCGAATTTGATTCATTTTTGTGTATGTACTTTCAAAATGTTCTTTTTGTCACTTACTTTTAAAAATAATCATTTTTGTCTCTATTTTCAATACAATACAATGACGCTATTGCATATCTTTTTGCTAGATATATAAAATTCAAAATTGGAATAAAAATCTAAAACGAAACAACTTAAACATGTTTATTGTTGTACTGGATCCGCAATTAAGCCTATGGATCCTTAGGATTGGAGTAGTCGTTTAATATATTGTATCTCGTAGCATCGTTCAAATCATACATACAGTCAAACATCACAACTTATTATGCCCGTCCTTTATATTGTTCTTTTTGTTTTGTTTTGGAATACAAATTTTGTAGTAGACGATATTTCACGAAAAAGGTTCTTCATATTCATAGGGAGAACCACTTTTTTTTTAATGTGAATTTGACATAACTAGTGAGAAGCCCCTATTTATAAATTAATAATTTAATTGAAAAAAAAAAAATTATCTTTTGCGAGAGCCATCAATATCACTTCACTATATATGACGAAACCTTTTTTTAAGATCCACTCAAAAATTATTCAACATAAAATCTATTGCATTTCAATAAATATATTGAATAGAGTGTGGGTTGAAATTGTGAAAGAAAAAATGAGATTGAAAATAAAATTAATAGAAAAAAATGGTCACATTTTGAAAGTATACTAGCGAAACCACTTTACCTATTGCAGGTTCGGCCCCTCTTAGTTAGCCTCGAATTAAGAAAAATTATTTAAAAAAAATATTAAGATTTTAAAGTTTTATAAAGTTGGAATGTAAAATTTTCTGTTCTTAATTAAATTTATGGACTAACTCCTAATTATATAATTTTTAAAATTTTGAAGTTTAGTTAAGTCTCCAACAAAATCCCTTTCACGACGCCCCCCGGCACTCTCTCTCTTTCAGTGACCATCTCCGGCGGCGGCGGCCATATGCAGCGGTGATCATATCCAGCAGCGGCGACGCTCTCTGTGAACGAACGTTCGTCTCGATTCAACTCTCACCTCACCGAAGCTCTTCATCTGTGTACGTCTTGTATACAAACCCATGTTCTTCCCTTGTTCTTGCATTTCTTCTGTCAAAGTCCGTGTTGTGCGAACTCGATTAAAGGGTGGTTTATCTGATTAAGGGATATGTTATTCTGGGTTGTTATCAAAAGGGTAGAATTTTATTGGGTTGTGCAAAATTTTGTTAAAAAAAAAAAGAAATCGATTTTGGGTTTTTCTTCTATGTTTTCGATCATTCTCCTTAATTTCCAGTCTGAAAATTGGGCTTTTTCTTCTATGAATGCATTCATGGGTCAATGTGTATCAATTACCCCCACAAACTTGAAGCAATGGGTGTAAAAATATATGTTAATGAATTGATAAGTTAATCTACAAACCGGAGAACCCGAAGAAGTTGGTCCACAAAATCTGGGTTGCTATTGATTGCTGCCGTCATATGTAGTTCTAAGTTCGTTGTTCTTACCTTGCCCACAAGTCTTATGAAGTTGTTAATTATGAAATATGGATTCATTTATATTTTTAATTTTCATTCTAGTTATTGCAAATTGCTACAGGAAATTGAATTCATAAAGCAGGGATGGAAAATTGAGCACGAAAGAGCATGATTCTTTGGTTTCTGTTTTAAAATTAGCTTGTGGAGGGTTGGGAGAAAGTAAATCCTTTGAAAGCAAATCGAGTCTTCTGAAAAATCTATATCTAGCCTTGAAAAACTGGTTAGATTCCAATTTCTAACCCTTCTTCGCTTTTGCATTTACTTGGGATGTTTACTCGATGAGATTCGATGATGTTGATGTGCATTTTCTCGAGGAAACGTGGAGTACTAATGATTTTGTTTTTAGTTGGAGTTTAATGATTCCAAGATGTGCATTTTCTAAGTTTAATGATTATGTTCTTAGTTTTTTAATGGAGTTTCTTGAACTTTTTTGTTTGTTTTTATTTAGGAGGTCTAATTTTATCTTATTAATTCACAGGATGACTTCATATGAATTTTCTAAAATAAGTCATTATAGTCAGAGTGTTCCATTAGTTGAACTTGACAACTCTTATTGCCAGAAAATCGATTTCGGTTTTCCACTCCCTACCCGAAAACCGAACCGAATGAGGATATTTACACTCCTAGCTAACAATATTGAGAAGAGGGGAGAAGGTATATGTGTGTATATATATATTTCCTTTTAAAAAAAGATATATATGTTGATCAGGTCGGGTTGGTTTTGAGAGTTTTTTCCTAGCCGATTGACCAACAGTTTTGGAAAAATCCCAAATCGACCGCCGACCAGCCGACGTCAATTTGATCGGTTTCAACTTATCGGGTCGGTTTGGGAAATTCTCATATACACCCCTAGTTAAAATTATCAAAAATAAAAAATTCATAGACGAAAGCAAAAAAACAGTATTTAAAGAAAAGGAAAAAAAAAAAGTCTTACCTAACCTATGTTTGTTTTAGCAGTGAAATAAGAGGAGTGAGCAAATTAGGAGGACCTGGATGGAAACTTGTGTTCTCCATGGTTACGACTCTATTGGTTGCGGCTCCAAATTGGCGTTTCGGCTCCAATTCCCATACTATTCTTCTTCTTCTTCGTACCCTTTTTACCTTAACAAAATCAGGTGCGTCCCCTCCAAAAACCCAACTCCACAGCCTCTTCTATCCCTAACAACTTCTTGTGCAGTTCCAACGCACAGTCCTACAAAGCATGCCACTCTATTACTAGACACTTTTCACCAACACCATGCCCTCAAAACCTTGCTTTCCCACCTCCACAAAACCGATTCCTGCCCTTTGCTACTACTTACACACCATGGAGATTGGAGCACAGACCATTTCTGGGTTGTTGTCAAATTCCTCACACAAGCATCCAGATCCCATCAACTCCTCAAGGTGCTGCTTCTCCTTCTCCTACACATTTTAGATTACAATGTACTTTGCCTTCTTTTAGCTTTTGGACACGTTTGAGAGTGATTTTTTACTCTTGTCATTTTCTAGACCTGTTATACCTCCAATCAATCAGGTGTACGTGAGAAAAGAGGGGCAGTAAAAGTGGGGACTTGTGTTAGTTCCTGTTTTTATGGTTCAATCCTGCATGTCTTAGTGGGCTAGGTTGTGTTTCCCTAGCCTAGAGGTTTAGTTTGTGAGGAGGCAAGCAATTTAAGTGTGTGTCTAGGGAGAGATCGAAGTCCTCTCAAATTCCCTCTCTTTTAAATTGTTTCTTTCTATTTTTCCCCGATAGGAAGGGTAAAGATACCTATCAAAATCACTTGTATGTCATTGTAAAATATTATTATTTTAAATGGAGGTGATTTTGATAATGACAAAACTTGTCTTGTCAAAATCACTTTCAAACATGTCCTAATATTTTAGGATGATATACGAGATCTTAGAAAATGGCTGAAAGTGATTTTTGCCAAACATGTTCTTATTCTGGAATGATTTGGTTCTATTACCTGGGGAGAGGAGGCCTAAAAATGTGTTTTAACTTTTAACCTAGATTGTATAATATTCTCCCTCACTTGAAACAAAGGTTTGCCAATATATGTACAAAGTGATACATGTATTTGTACATGACTGATTAAGGGTGTGTTTGAGAGTGATGATAGGATAAGTAATTTTGAAAAAAAGAGATTTAAGTATAATTGATTTTTCAAAATCAACGTCCAAGTCATATCTTAGAAATCAACTTAAAGTGATTTTAAACTTTTCTAAATTCAATTTTTTAATTGACCAAACATGATCAATGGGAAGGGAAGTGATTTTGACAATGCCAAAAATCACTCCTAAGCGCATCCTAAATGCTCAACCTTTTATTTTGTTGCCAAGAAATTATCGTTACAACTGAGAATCTACTTTCTGCGGCCATATTATTTTAAAGGAAACATTAAATCTGTTCTGAAATTTAATCTTCTGCATCCAAGGGAAAGTTGATAGATGCAAGGTTCTGATATACATTCCTTTAAATAACCGCCATCTATTTTCTTGGTTCTTTTCGGGATCCTATTGGGACTTGATAGTGGATTGGATCTATGTACATTTTGGGAGTTCTAGTGCATGTAGTGAATGAAAATTTGAAACTTTGTGCAGCTATTTGATGCGTGGAAGAACATTGAGAGATCACGGATTAACGAGAGTAACTATGAGAAGGTAATAGTTCTATTGAGTCGAGATGGTCTTATGGATGATGCTATGTCAGCATTTCAAGATATGAAGAGCATTGGCCTTCAACCATCTTTGGGTATTTACAATTCTCTCATCCATGGTTTTGCTGCAAAAGGTGAGTTTGAAACTGCTATGTTTTTCGTCAATGAGATGAAAGACATCAATATGACTCGAGAACCAGATACCTACGATGGCCTAATCGAAGCCTATGGAAAATATAGAATGTACGATGAGATGGTCAAGTGTCTGAAACAGATGGAATTGGATGGATGTTTTCCAGACCAAATAACTTACAATTTGCTTATCAGGGAGTTTTCCAAAGGTGGATTGCTTAAAAAGATGGAAGGTTTATACCAAACTATGCTTTCAAAAAGAATGGATCTGCAGTCATCTACCTTGGTTGCCATGTTGGAAGCTTACACCAAATTTGGCATCTTGGATAAAATGGAAATGTTCTATAGAAGGATCCTGAACTCAAGGACCAATCTGAAGGAAGATCTAATCAGAAAATTGGCTCTAGTATGTATCAAGAACTTCATGTATTCAAGATTGGAGACCTTGGGCGTCGATGTTTACATTAAAATCGGGAAGACCGATCTTGTTTGGTGCCTGCGTCTTCTATCGCATGCTTGTTTATCAAGCCGAAGGGGTATGGACTCTGTTGTTCAGGAAATGGACAAAGCTAATGAGATTTGGAATGTGACAGTTGCAAACATTATACTTCTAGCTTATTTGAAAATGAAGGATTTTAAGCGGCTCAGAATGTCGTTCTCTGAAATGCGAGAAAGACATGTCAAACCTGATATAGTTACCATTGGAATTCTTTTAGATGCAAATAACAAAGGATTGAACGGCACCGGAACTTTAGAGGCATGGAGAAGGATGAACTTGCTATCTAGAGCTGTGGAGATGAACACCGACTCGCTGGTTCTAGCTGCATTTGGAAAGGGAAATTTCCTTAAAAAATGTGAGGAGACATACGCTGCTCTGGAGCCCAAGGATAGGGAAAATAAAATATGGACTTATGAAGGACTCATTGATCTGGTTCTTGAAAAGGGGGAAACTGGATTGAAAACTAGATGAACTAGCTTATTGCAGATACCTACATCAAATTGTTTCAAGGGATATGATAATCCATTGACAACTGCTAGAACTTTTGCACGAAAACTTTACTGTAGGGAGATTTTTATGCAAAAAACCAGTCTATGTTTCGTGTGTTGTAAATTTGATGTATCCCCAATAGTTATTACTTTCACATGAATCAATTAGTACAGATGGCAGATTAGCTGCGATCCTTCACTGCTAAAGCCCGAAAAAACAACTCTATTTCGTTTAATAATCTTTTATTCTCATGTGAGTCTGATTGCATGGTCAAGTGAAGGAGATACTCACAAACGTCTCCCAGATCATCCATATTAGCAAACGGATTCCCGATTCCTTCCTCCGTTTGAGCAGCCCCATCATTCTCATTAGCAAATGCGAAGTGATATCCTGCCCCAGTTCCCATGCTCCCAGCCCAATATCTAGGCCCAGCCCACTTTCACATATGTATATAGATATATATTACTTTCCTTTTAAATGTTGTCTCATTTCTTCGCGTCCGCACAGCCAATCGAACTACAGCGTTCCCCTCTGTTCTTCTTAATCTTCCTCCTTCTCTCTCAAATATCCCTCAGCACCCCTCTCCATTCTGTCAGCCAGTCCAGCAGTTGCAGGTATGTCCTTAGATTTCAGTTTAATCGGGACAATGGATAGGTGCATTTTCCTATTTTAATGTATGTTGTTTAGATATGTATAAATGGTTAAATTTACTCTAACTAATCTGCTTAAGCTTTTGGGTTTATTGATGATTTGATTTAACATGTTTAAAATGGTATCAAGTTGAAAGTTCTTTATTTGAACCATGCATTGTCATTGCTCCTCCATTTAATATTGATTTGTACTAGTTGGGTCTTTGTGCAAATTTTCAGTTCAAAAGGGAGAGTCCAACCGAGAGCTTAAGTTTTTGGATGAGTTAAAATAAGTTTTTGGATTCAATGGTGATTTAATATGTCTAAAGAGGATGTTTTGTAATGGTTTGTTTATTCTGTTTAGGCAATGAAGAACTCGCTTCTCACTTCCATAAAAGCTAACTATGGGCCTACTTGGTAGAAGTTTGAATAATTGTAGAAACTTCAGCAGTCAGGAATCATCAGTGTCCCGTTGCAGAAACACATTTGCTGGGAATCGGCCTGGATGTAATTTGAATTCTCATTCTTTGAGATTTGAAACGGGTAACTATCATTCTGTTCTTCAGTCCAGTAGCTTTCAGCATTGGTTCAAAAATTGGCAAGAACTCAGAAAGCATAAGTTGACCGCTAGTACTTTTGCTGGGGCTATAGGGTTTTGGCCTCGTCGGAGGGCACAACTGTGGTTAGAGAAGCTTGGAGCAATTGAGCAGTTTTCTGGTACCCTAGCAACTTGCTGGAGCAACAACAAAGAAGAAGAGGCACTTGAAAGATATAAGCTTATAACAGGAAACACTGTCTTGTTTCCTGAATTTCAAGTCTATGGTAAAGTGAACTCTGAAGATGATTGGTTAGCCGCTTCACCTGATGGTGCAATAGACAAGATTGTCCATGGATTGCCTTCACGAGGAGTTTTGGAGATTAAGTGTCCATTTTTTGATGGTGATATGAGAAAGGCTTCACCATGGTCACGAGTTCCACTTTACTCTATTCCACAAGCTCAAGGTTTGATGGAAATAATGGATAGAGACTGGATGGACTTTTATGTTTGGACTCCTAAAGGTAGCAGTCTATTTAGACTGTATCGAGATGTAGAATATTGGGAGGTACTGAAAATGGCTCTATCGGATTTTTGGTGGAAGCATGTACAGCCAGCAAGGGAGTTTTGTAGTAAATATGCCATTACAAATCCTCTCATTGAGCTAAAATCACTTAGGCCATCGCCCAGGCATGAATTATGTAGTTATATAGTATGTGAAAGCAAACGGATTGTTGATAATTCTAAGTTGATCTTGCGGGAATTTGATGGGAAACTTCAAACCTGAAGCACTTGTACCTACTTGGGCGTGTGTTCAATAGTTGAGATTATATTTAGGAATCTGGGATTTAAGTTATATTCACAGTTGCGGAGTTTGAAAGCTAGAAGGAGTTCTTATGAGGCACACCATGAGCTTGACTTGACATCCTACTCTTGCTCCTCCCGCCCGATGAAGGGGTGTGAATCTGTCGAGAGGTTTGAATCTGAACCCCTGCCCTGTCAATATCAAACGTTGGCACCTTGCTACGCCTGCTAGGAAGGTTAGCCTTATGCGATTGTTGTCTAGACCCACACCGATGATGCCGTGGCACATGTCACATTCCCGACCCTCTATTCACTGGGGTTGAAGGGGATATGGTAGAGCAACTGTTAGCTGCACCGCACAGCAGGAAGGCCAAAGGCCCAGACAGAAGTTAGTTTGGAGGAGTTCTGTTTGAAGGCTATTGATGTTAAAAGAATCTCAAGGTTATTGTGCTTTCTATCCTTGTTAAAAGTTATTTGCTGGCATTGGAGTTGAGAAAATTTTGATGTTTGGGTGGGAGGCTCTTATTCTAGAATTTCTATTTCCTCTACCTACAGAATCTTATAGGTATGTCTGTAAATCTACTGTCGTATTTGTAGTGTTCTTGGTCTTTATCTTCACACTGCAAGAACAATTCACCTGCAAAACGAGTTTCTTTTGTGATCCTCTTGAGTGCTGGCTTTTTCTGAGATTTTGTAGGGTGTTTGGCTCGAGAGAGATCGTAGGATTTTTAGATGTAGTTCCTAGCTAGGTTAAGGCTTCCCTTTTGGCCTCCGTGCTTGAGTAGCCTTGCAATTATTCTCTGGGCCTTATTATTTCGGATTGGAACCCTTTTTCGTATAGTCAATTTCACTCGACCCCTTTTGTTTGGCTGTCTTTTTGTATGCCCTCTCGTATTTTTTCATGTTTCTCAATGAAAGCTTTGTTTCACGGAGAATGTCATTAGGCCAATGAAGGAGATTGCAATAGGTACGCGAGTGAGCTTTGAATTTATATATTCACGTTGCTTTGGAGTTGCATGGTGTGCATTTTTCATCGATAATCATTCAACATTCTGATCCAATTCTGATTACCCAAAGGCTTCAAATCATTCAGAATCCCCACATCATTTGCCTTCAGTTTGTTCCTAGGGAATTTTATTTTATTCCAATGAATGATATGCATTATGTAGGGTAGTTTTTCCTTATTCCTCTGGCGTATAAGTTTGGTCTTTCTGACAAACATTTTGTATTCTAAGATCAGGGAAGATGAGAATGCCTCTACTGGAAAGGGAGGACCCGTTTGATAATGTTCCGTTTCTTGTTTATCGTTTCCAATTTTCTTAAGAAATCTAAGTATTTACAACTAACGTCGTTTCTTATTTCTCATTTTTTGGGAACGTTCTTACAGAGATTTTGGGAACAATCAAAACAAGTTTCTATTTTCTTGTTCTCATTTCCAATTGGTTCCAAATCATAAATAAAAACATTATTTTATCCTACTTGAATTCTTAGAGGTTGAAACCATGCCACATATTTCTTCATTAAAAAACAAGAAACAGAAACAAGAAACATGAACATTATCAAACGAGTCCGAAATGTTCCATACTGACTGTTATGATTGTGATTTCTTATGTCTGTTTTTTTCCCCTTGTTTCTACTCCAATTATTTTGATAATTTAGTCACAATCAGAATCAGATCTCTGTAAAGTTTGTCCACTATCATCAATGGCTTCCAGAAGAGTCTTCATGATTTGGTATGGTTTTCTCCATCCCTTTTTGTGTTTTTTTTTTCCTTGTTTCTTCGACAAATAGAAGTTATTGATCAGAGAAAGCTTTAGAGTGAGAAATACTTACAAATTCATTAACCATTCAGTCTTGAATTTCTCTTTCTTTTTGTTCTCTCTTGTAGTGGATGGTTTGTGGACATATGATTTGGTTTTGCTTGTGGCTGTGAGATTTGTTAATGTTGTGATAACCATTTTTGTTTTTTGTTTTTATTCCTAATTTATTTGATATGTTTTTTTTAGTTTCTTATAACATATTCCAATAAAGAAAATTCTCTAGTACTATAAAAAATAAAAATCTCTAATCTTATTAGGCAAATGTTTAGGTATGTATCGGTTAGGATTTTTATTTTTTTTACTATCATTAAATTTTCTTTTAAGTAAGAGAGGAATGTAGAAAAAATTGAGATCAAAAATTGGAAATGGTAACAAGAGAGAATAAATTAATTTTGGTTGTTTACAAAATTTATATACGAGAAACAAAAAAAATATAGTTAGTAATAAAATACTTAGATTCCTTAACAAAAATTAGAACGGGTCCAGCCAGTATTTTTCGAAAATAAAATGTAAGGATATTATTTTTGTACCGTCTATTAATAAAATAGTTTTCCCTTGTAATTATGGGCATCTTATTATTACTATTATTTGTTTTCTAATCTAAACTTATTTCTCAACTTACCTGTAGATGGAACTTTTGCACTTGGGCGCAGTTTCTCCTTGAAGGAAAATTGACAATAATTGATACTACGGAATTTTTCTTTCCCAGTAAAAATCCATAATTTATTTTCTATTCCTTTAAAAACACATAATTTATGTCAATTAATTTTTTTTTTAGTGTATACGAAATTGATTACCTTGATCTTAAGTAACTCGACGACTCAAAAATTCCAGGTTATCGTAATGAATAATCGTAGACATTCCTTTCATAAGCAAGACGTGCGATGTATTAATAATCATTAATAAATGTATAGAATTTAAAAGGTTAGAATGCAAAAAGTTTTCTTACCACGTAAAATTGAATTTTATTTTCTTTAATTATCCATATTAATAAATATATAGGATTTAAAATGTTAAAATGCAAAAAGTTTCCATATAAAATTAATTTTCTTTAATTGTAATTCATACTAGAATTTGAAGAGTTTTAGAATTTTAAAAACTTCTGTGACTTTTTATTCTCTACCACCGTAAAAATAGGTTTTCTTCCACAATTTTTTCCATAACACTTTTCATGTATTATTCAATCTCGAAAACATCTCAAGATATTGTTGGCATATTCATCAAATTGCAAAAGATGCACGTGTCAAACCTATATATCTCGAATACCAAGCTAGGCTTGCGATGCTACCGTTTTACAATTTTTTGAAGTTGAATGTACCTAAAATACGAGCCCTGTTTTTTTTTTATGTTTTTATTGTCTCTCATTTTTTCCATTATCCATAAACTTTTTTTTTGAAACACCATTATTCATAAACTTAAAACAATTTAAGATGGCGTGTGCGAGGGAATATGATACATGAGTCAATCTATATTATGAATTACAGATTCTAGATGTTACAATTTGATTTTGAAGCTAACTATGTTTATCTTGCAATAATAAGATATATACTAATTTAAAAGAGGGGATATGGTGAAATTGACATGGGCCACGAATTTAGTTGGATTGAACCTTGATATCAAAACTAAGTGATAACTTTAAAATTTATAGAAATCTTGAAATTAAAAACGGACAAAATACTGAACCAAATCGTTAATAGAAAATAATGTATATATATACTTATTTATTTATGAAAGCATAGATACACATTTTTTTTCTTTGTTTATTATAATTTTTTACTATTAATGATATATATATTTTTTTATAAATTTAGTTAAGTTAAAAATAATTAGATAATATAATATAAATATAGATAGATATCACATGATGCATTTCTAAATTTATTAATTCATAGCTAATTAACTATGAATTCTTTCCCGTGCCATTTACATCATTTCCCATGGATAACATGTCATCAACACGTCAAAGCGAGTATAGTTCAACGGTAATTGACATACGTCGTGAGTTTGATCCCCCACCCCACATGTTGTACTAAAAAAATATGTCATCAACATATATATACAACAAATAAAATGATGAAGGTCTTGCTTTTTGTAGTTTAATGATGGCAGAGTGAGAGATAATTTAAACCATCAACTCTAGAGATGGTAACAGGTATCTTGCTCGTCAAATTAATTGCTCCAGTTGATTTTCTTATAGTAACAATATTTATCAACAGTTTTTTCGAATCCGTTCGTATTGATTACAATATCAAATCTTATATTCAATGATTTTAGATTATGTCATGGAACAAATTCACCCATTATTTTCTTAAAGCCATTTTCTTTAGTTTGACTTAGACTTTGAAAATATTTAAAAAATGTAAATAACAGAACAAAAAATACAAATTGAAAGAAAAAAAAAAAAGAAAAATGAGTTTGCAGAAGGGAGAGAGAATAGGGTTGGTGATTTTTTTCGGCTAAATAAAGTAAGAGATCTAGAGAAAACTTTGGAGATCAAAGTTTAACATTTCAATGGACAATAACAAATCATCAAATTCCACAAATGCCCTTTAGAAATTAGAACTAAAAAAATGGAAAAAGAGAAAATAGAGGGGTGGGTCCCCCGTGGAAATCGATGCCCTTTATAAATCCGATTTATGACGTCATCTCATTTTTGGACGGGTAAAAGATTCAGAGGAAGAAAAAAACTCACCGTTGCTCTCTTCCTCCCTTTCCCTCTTCCCCTCCCCAGTCCCCTTCCCAATATTCCATCAATCATCTGAGGGAATCGGGGGCTCCATGGCGTTCTCTTCTTCTTCTCCGGCGAGAGGATCCAAAGTCCCTCTTTTCTCAGTCCCGTTTCTCCTTTTCCTCTTCGCCATTTCCTCTGTGTTCGCCGACGATGTCACGCAGGATGACAATTCCACTCCCAAGTCCCCCAATTGCAACAATCCCTTCGAATTGGTACTGTTTTAATTTATTTTTCTCATTTATTTGTTGTAATGGTTTGCATTTACTCCAATTGTATTTGTTTGTTTTTGGGTCGATCTGATTTTTTTCATTTTGGGGTCCGCAGCGCGTGATTTCTGAAAGGATTTAGATATAGGCTATCTTATGTGATTGAAATTAACGTTCGAGTTTTATCTGCACTCTGATCACGATTGGAAATTAATATGATGTTATTGCTTTCGCTTGTTTGTTGTGTAATTTTATCGTCAACGGCACTTTTCTATGGCGAAACAGTGTTTCTGATCAATAAGCTTTTGGTGCTGGATTAGTGGGTGTTGGTCTCTAGAGTTTTCTCGAGTGGTTTAGGGATCGAGAATTTTGCTCCCAAAGAGATTACGCTTTTGTCCAAATGGTTGTAATGTGATGCTTCTGTTTGGAGCTCGCTTGATGAGTTGAGGCCCAAACTACTGTGAATAATTACGGGCATAGTTTGATTTCAATGGGTGGGATTTGAATTTGGTCTACGCGGCATTTTAGGAACCTTTGAAAATCTTCGCACCTCAGTTTATTTCTCATGTTAAACTTTTGGTTGGTGATTGGATCAATAATCATTATTTTTCTCGTCTCTACAATCTTCGGCAAAAAGTGCTCTTATGTTCCGTTCTACTCAACTTCGGGTGATATCTTTTGTTGGTTTTTTTAGGAGAGTTGTCTTGTAGGGAGTGAGCAAGTTGTTGTTGGTTTTTTTTGGTTGCATTTGAATCAAAAGGACAAACTGTTTTAATCACGAGTCTTATGGTATGTATGCATGTAACGTTTTATTTATTTATTCTTGTTTATTCTTACCGACTACGTTTCTCTCCATTCTGTTCTATTCTCTGGAACATTGCAATTCTAAATAAGGTCGGTTAAGGATAACGGTACTCCAAGTACCCAGAATATCTCCACAATTGTATGATATTGTCCGCTTTAGGTATAACCCTCGTGGTTTTGCTTTTGGTTTCACCCAAAAGGCCTCATACCAACGGATATATTGTTCCTCACTTATAAATCCATTATCTTCCCCTTATCTAGCTAATGTGGAACTTTGGTTGCATTCCTAACAAGGTCAAATTCTTCTTTTGATTGGAGGCGCCGGGGAGAATTAATATCATGGATTTTATCTAGAAAGTATTTTCCAGTGCTTGATTCATAATGGTTTGTTGGCAATTGGCATAAGAGAATCATGATTATATTATTTAGACATTTTCATTGTAGATGTCAGAAATCTAGTATCTACCATAAATATTTAAGGATTCTACCATGTAACCTTTTTTTTCTTACAAGAAGAAAGAAACTGTGAAGAGTTTGAAACACTCTCGTGGGTCCTTCACACACTCTAGCAGGTGTTAAAGCCACTTTGATGGTTAAGTTAGGGGGACTGTGTTGGTTGGAGTAAACCATGTTTGAGTAACGAGACACATGTAAGGGACGTGTGTAAGGCATAACGTGGTGTGGAGATGTAAGGGGATGGGATGTAGGGTGGGGTATGTTATGTGTAGTGTTTTAGGAAGCGCATAAAAGTGCACGCTTAACTGCGATTTGCACTTAGGTGGAGGAGGGGTGCTTTACCTCGTAAAGGTGAGGTGACCTAACTAGGGCATTGTAGTTTTACAACTTTTTTTAATATAAAAAAGTTGTTGCACCTTGCCAGTTGGCAAGGACTTGGGGTCTCGTGGTCATACTGGCTCAGAGGCTCAAGTTCGAACCTTCTGATGAGCTTAATACAAAAAATCCTTGATGTCTTCTGGGTCCGGGCCTTGGGGCGGCGGATGTCCCTGGGTATAGGGGAACAAAGCTCCGAGTCCCGATTCTCAGAAAAAAATATAAAAAAAATGTCTTCCACCTAACAGACTTTTGAGAGAGGGATATCTTCCACCTAGGGGACTTAGAGAGTGTGAGAAAGAGGGGGCGTGTGCAATAAATGTCTTTCAGTTTTATATTATGGAAATAAATAGTTGTTGTATTGAGAATAAGCTCTATTGTATTTGGATTGAAAATGAGTGCTTTTTCATTGAAGATATGAAAAGAAATATGTTGTTGCCTCTTCATTTATCACATTTAGCCTTGTCTAGAAAAGTTTCATCAGAATTATGGATTATCTAGAAAATTCTGCCGGATCAGCTAGGTTAATCACGGATTGCAGCAGATTGTTGAACTTCAATCTCAGCCAATTCATAAACAAAATAGATTTGCAGAGAGTTGGGTTGGTTTTGGAAAACGAAACAAATTCAATGGGTAATATACCTCTTTTTTCAGACAAGGAGGAAATTGAAGAGTTTTCTTTTGAGAAGGCAAGGTCACGAAGTTAATGTTGAGCAGCTGAATAAAGAAGGCGAAGGGACCTTTCCAAAAATTTGGCGGAAGATGGAAACTTTTTTGAAAATCAGTCACATGAAGAGGTTTTGTGGGAGTAAGTGCAGTAAAGGATGTCCATTCAGTCGCCTCCAATATTCAAGAAATGCTTCTGGAACCAAAGAGTTTTCTTTCTAAAAACAGGGTTAATTTTGAGCAGGCATTTAAGGATAATTTTGACAAGTTGGCGACAACTCAAGTTTTAAATACTCAGTTTTTGCACAAGGAATTCAAAGAGACACCTTCTAAAAAACCGTGGGTTGAGCGTGCATTAAATGAAAAGCTATTGAATGCCCCTGTTTTCTTTGAAGTCTTTGAATGTAAGCAAACTCTTACAAGGATCACACGGACACTTAAGAGTCATTCTCTGATAAGATAAAGAGGGCTTGTGCAACAAATGACTAACTTTTTAATACTTTTTTAGAATACAAAAAGCCTTTAGAAGAACGATGCTTAAACGATTGTAAATATAACTTCAATGCAACGATTCAAGTCATTCCTTTTTAAAGTTTTCTCTAACTGGCTGTCTCGAAGGAAGTTTATTGAACTTCTTGCCTTCTCCCATTCCAGAAGAAAGGATAAGTTGGGGATATTCAAAGGTCTTGAATCCTTAAATTCAGTTGGAAAATTGAGATTGAATTTGAATGGTGCTTTTAATAAAGAAAGAGATGATTTGCGGTACATGCCACTCGAAAAGGCTTCTTTTTGTGATAATCCTAGTGTATCTAAATATTTTGAAGAGGCTGATATTTCGTTTGCAATCTGTTGGGCCCGATGAAAATTAATTGGGTTTTGGTCATCAAGGAGATGCTTTAAATGAGGAAAAGACAGCAGGGTTTTCATTGTCAATGGTAGTTATAAAAAGAAAAGACAGTTAGTGCAAGTGAATCTGATTAAGACTTTCAAAGTAAGAGGAATAGGGGAGAGGGTACTTCTCTTTCCTTAGGTTCATTTCACTCCACAAGCGAGAATGCAAGAGTCCAAACGTCCAAATGATAACTCAGGATTTTTCAGATTTTGAAGACGATGATTTCGATGCAGAGACTCAGCATCAGTAGTCCAGACCCATCTCCAAAGTCTGTTGCTTCTAGTCTTAAAGACCTGAGAGATTTTTCCTTTGAGGAAGAACTTCAACTTCTTTTTAAGGAGCAGAAGGAAGCTGATAAGTCAGACAATTCAAAACATTCTTCCATTCCTCCTTTTTTTTTGAAGAAATGAGAATCACTATTGAATCTATTAATATGGATTTTTGGTCTTTGTGAACTTAAGAAATTGAGACTGGCGGAGGTTGGTTTTTGGAAGTATCATTTCTTTGAATTTTGAAGTTCCAGGTCATTTGGTAGATTGTTTTGGGAGTTGAAGGGGCCGTCCTTTCTTATTTTTACGTGTGTGGTGGCTTTCTCCAAGCTGTTTTCCAATTTGTAGCAGATTGTTTGGTGCTTTTATAGGAAGCTGAAGAGCCCTTTTGAATCATTTGAAACATTTCCATCTTGTCCTGTTTCTTGGACTTGTCTCCTGGGGTGGTATTCGTGGGAATTTGAGAAGCCCCTTTGCAGACCAATTTTCAAGGCAGCATCTAGGTTGGTGTGGAGTTCATGTCATTTTATTACTATTCAAAGCCTGCTAAACCCTACTTCGTCACTTCAATGGGATTCTCTTCCAATGAAGAGCGGCTTGACAATTTTAAGAAGGAATTGGAAAGAAGGCTAAAAATTTTGGTTATTTGCGAAGAAGCTTGATCTAAAAGATGGTTGGACTTGCTTGCTGAATGGAAAATGGAGTATGATTCTTTTTTTTGGTCAAATCAGAGTCATTGTGTGATTGTCACATTCCTTGGAGGGGGGTGTTTTTTCAGATTCATCTGACAGTCACTTTTGATTTCTCCCCAGCAGATAGCCATTTTGTTTTTGCAAGCTTCATGAAAGGGAGTTTTTTCAAGCCTCCGCTAATTCAGATTCTTGTTATTTCTTTGACATTACTTTTTTAGGTTTCTTCCTACAGAATTGGAACTCTGTGATTGTATAGATCCTTTGGTGAGGGTTCCCTCTACCCTCTGCCACTAGGCTGTTTTTTGCCTTCTTTTTGGGCTCCCGTTGGTTTTGAATACATTTCTCTGTTTCTTATATAAAAAAAGTATTAGTTAATTGGTTCTATAAACTTGTATTTTCTACATTATTGTTCCTAGCTGGTTGTTGTTTATCTTTTTTTGCTTCCTTTGGGAACTTGTATTCTCGAACATTTTTCTTCCTTTTCATATCATCAATAAAAAGTTTGTTTCTTGTTAAAAGAAAAAAAGAAAAGAAAAGAAAGTTAGGATTGCTTTTATTCATTGGAAAACAGCACTGGTTATTTGGTTTTCGACTTCTTCTTCATTCATTGGCTGTTGTACGACTGGTTGATTGGTTTTCAATGAGTTTCTCCTTAGTCTTATTTTTCCTTGCACCAATTTTTATGATTGAGAATTTGAAAGGTCTTTCTTGGCACCATCATTCTTTATGGTTGGAAAATTTGAAGAGTTTTCAGCGGCATCTTCTTTTTGTCCTTGGGTCTAGGGTTAGAATTTGAAGGTCTTCTTTGGGCTTCTCCTTAGTCTTAGACTCTTAATTGTCCTTACCTCTTTTTTATGGTTTGAGAAATTGAAGGGTCCCCTCCATTTGGGAGTTTGTATTCTTTGAAAAGTTTTGGTCTCTCTCTCTTTTTTTTTTTTTTATTATTATTTTTTAATTAATGAGAAGTTCGTAACTTGTTAGAAAAAAGGTATTCAACACCAATTGAACTAACCTGCCTTCAAAAGAAGAATACATCTCCACTTGTTTAATTTAACGCAAGAGCACGACTTTGGGAGATGAACCTTTTTTTGGGTATTTTATTGAACATATGGTTTGAAAGGACTATTAATGTATTTATGGGTATGGTGGGTTCCTGAGAGGAAGTTGGAGTTGGACATGTTTAGTCCCTCTATTTCAACTTCTGTGTTCAATTTTGTTGCAGCATTCTTCTGTTCTTCATTTCTTAACAAATGGAGCTCTTTTGTTTGGTTTGTGTTTTTGTTTGACCTGGTTTTTGTAATATTTTATTTCTCTTGATGAAAGTGTTTTCTTATTAAAAAAATTATACTAGTAGACAAGAATGACAAGTGGTTATTGACTGCCATAGCTTTCTGATTTTTGTTGATTTTCATGGAACATGTTGAAAGATTTTAATTTTCAAGGCTTAGCATCACAGTGATATTGATTTCAGTTTGATCATAAATGAAGCTATTTTTGTCTTTTTGTTGCTCGTTCTTCAGGTCAAAGTTAAGAACTGGGTTAATGATGCCGAAGACAAAACCTTAGTTGGCCTAAGTGCAAGATTTGGGGCTTTGGTGCCTCTTCAGGCGAAAGATGATCTCAAATTTCCAGCTGTTTTAACAAATCCTTTAAGTGGTTGTTCTAGTTCTTCTTCGAAGGTAATGATTGTTAACACGATCTTTAGATACATGTGATTATGTTTGAGGCATATTATTATATTTTAGTATAATCATGAAGGCATCAATTAGTGCTGTTGTATAATTTTTTTTGAACAAAATACGAATGTCTCATTGATTAATGAAATGAACAAATTTGTTCAAAAAATACAAACTCCCGAGGGGAGCAAGAAAGACAAAAAAAGAAAATAGAGAGAAAGAACCCGAAACAGAGGGATCCAACCCAAATGAACAAAAGAGAAAAACAATAATTCTGGTATGCAAGCGTCCCAACATTAATGGCCACAAGTTGTCAACCGTTCCTAATTTATTTCCAGCCTGTCAAGGAGGTGTGCTGCCGGCTACAAAGATCATGCAAGCATCTAGTATTAATGAACATTTGGTGACAGTTGTCGCTCTCGAATCCCATGGAGCTATCGTTAATGTTTTGTTTTGGGTGTTCTTCAAGAATTAAATGGGAAAGTCATTCGGCATTGTACTCCAAAAGGCACTAAGAATGCCAAAGGTCTTATTCCTCCTCTTCCTTTTTATTACACTTGAAGAAAGGATAATATTCAATTAAGAAACGAATCTGAAAAGCCTTTGGCTTCTAAATCCTTGCAAGTGAATCTGTTTGAGACTTTCAAACAGATTCACTGGAAATTGGGAGAAATCTGAAAAGCCTTAGGCTACGTTAACTTTATCTTTTGGAAACAAGGCTTCGAATTTCTGAGAATATTTGGCTCAAACCCTTCTTTGAATTTCAGAAATTTCTCTAACTCGATCAGCTTGTAACTACATCTTTCTTTTAAAGGGTTCATTCTTTTAGAATAAGATACAGACTTCTCATTGAAATAATGGAAAGGAAATATAAGGTTTCTAAGATACAAACTCCCAAAGAGGGTGAAAGTAAACCATAAGAACAACACAAAAGAGATCAAATGAAAAGACAATTCAGAATAAGAAAAAATCTGGGAAGAACCAAAGACTTGGCCAAGAACCTCGACAAAAGAAACTGAAACGAATCTTCGATTGGGGAAGAAATGACAATTTCAATAACCAAAAAACAATCGCCAATCACCCAATGTCTCTGATTTGTGCAAAAAGAGTATCGTATTCCATTTCCCACTCAGAAAGGAACTCCAACCTTCTTTTAGATCGAGCTTCTTTGCAAAAAGCCAAGTTTTTTAGCCTCTTTTCCAACTCCTTAAAATTGCAAGCCACTCTTCATTGGAAGAGAATCCCATAGAAGTGATGGAGTAAGGGGATGAATAGTCTTTACGTCAAAAAATTCTTAAAAGTCCATCAGAAGTTATCATTAAAAATATTCTTATTATTTCAGGATTTCAATTGCAATTTAAAACTGATTTATGGACTCGTCTAGAACTACTCTGTTCGCTTTTGGTACTAAGGAGTAAGGAAGGTTTTTTTCCCTCATGTGAGTTGGTTCTGGAATTCATTTGGTTCTCCAAGCTCTGCAGCAAGCCATTTTTCTGTTTAGAATGCCTTTTATCTTCTTCGAGCTTGTATTGCTCTTGTTGGGCTAATTCTTTGTTATTTTTCTCTTCTTCTCCCTCTTCTTTTTTCACCCCTTTGGGGTTTGTATCTTGAACCTATTTCCTTTTCATTCTTGTTGAAAAAATTTGTTTGTGGTTAGCTAGCTAATTGATTCAATCATAGATTTTAGCCCTTTTGGTTTTTTGAGACGACCTTGAAATTTTGAGATTAAGACATGAAGATATTTTTTCCGATAATTGTGTCGGAGCTTTGCTCTTCTATACCTGGGACACTTGCTCCGCCCCAAAGTCTGTACTCAGGAGATATCAATGATTTTTTGTATTAAGCTTATTCGAAGGTTTGAACTTGAGACTTTTAAGCCAATATGATCAAGAGACCCCAAGCCCTTGCTAACACAACGCCCCTTGGGGGGCTATTAAGACATGAAAATGTTATGCATTTTACTTTACTGACATGAATTGATGTCAGTTAACTCTTGTGTCTATTTATAAGTCATTAATGGTTATAATTTACCTTTTTCCTCTCTGCAGGTATCTGGATCAATTGCCTTGTCAATTCGTGGTGAATGTGATTTCACAACTAAGGCAAAAATTGCACATGCGGGGGGTGCTGCAGGCTTGTTGGTGATAAATGACCAAGAAGGTTGACATTTTACTACAACTATACAATTTTTTGTGTTTGTTGGGTGCATATTAGACACTCTAGTCTCCTAGATTTAACATAAGGATAAATTGGGCATTGATATGGGCAAGATGTTAGAAAAGGATTTTATGTATATGTTAGAACAGGGCCCAAGGGTAATCACAAAAATCCGTTGTAAGTGAGAACCAAAGGGGGTATTGAACTAAGACCCAAACCTCCTCAGAAACAACTCTCCACGTCTTTAAGAACCTTCCAATTTCAGCCCCAAGGGCTGTTCAGTTAGCAAGGGTTTTGGGGTCTCTTGGTCATACTGTCTTAGAGGTTGCAAGTTTTGATGTAGTTAAGTAGCTGCTTCATAACCTTTCTTGTTTATTAGCTATTGTTATAACTTTTATTTAAGTAGCTTTACTTTTAATGCAAGTAACAATAGTTACTCACGTAATTCTTAAGTAAAGTTTGAAACCTTAGGTTTCAGCCCCTTTATTGAAAGATCATTGAATAATTTCTTCAAAACCCTTCTAAAGGCTACATTAGTTTGGTATCAAAGCACCCAAAGTTCTAGGCACTCGATGGCGGGAAAGAAACCAACAATGGAAGATCCTTCCTTAGCCAACAAAGAACGGAACAAATTTCGGTCCTCTCACCACGATCATGAACCATACGCTTGCAGTTGGTCGAAGGAGATGTGAAAATCATCCAAAAGGATGTGAGTGAGATTAAACAAATCCTGGAAATCATTCGTGGTTAGTTGGAGAATTGGAGTCTTCAACAAAATCTAGAAAGCACGGACATGCCATCTGGGATGGAGTGTCGGTGTCGGACATTGACACGCTCGGACACTTGTTCGACACACTCAAATACGTGTCCCATTATTATTATTATTATTATTTTATTAACGAACACGCGGTCGACACGTAGAAGACATGTGAACGACACGTAGAAGACACGTGTTTCAGTTTCTTCTAGTTTTCTTCTGCCCCAACTTTTCATTTCTTCCTTTTAGATGAGTCGAAAGAATAAGGGTAGAGATGAAAAAAAGGCAAAGTCGGAATGAGAAGAGTTGGAAGAAGAAGATGAGTGGGGAAAGAAGAAAGGTCTAAAGAAGAAGAGGAGAAGAACAAGAATAAACAGAAAAAACACACACAGAAGAATGAGAAGTTGAAAAGATAGGAGAGAATAAGAAGAAGAAAAGAAGAAAAGTCAAGAGTGCATGCAATCTCTCTCCTCCATGACTAACAAATGACAATTTTTCTGCATGATTATCTCTCCTCCATGGTTAACAAATGGCCATTTTTCTCTTCCAATAATTATGACTAAGGCTTTTTCCAAGACTAATAGATGATATTATTTAAGAGGGTTTAAATTTCGTTTTCTTATAATATATATATATATTTTTTTATAAAAAGTCTTTTTTTTCCATCTTAATATCTCTCCTTTTTCTTAAATTTTTAAGTTAATATTTGTTTAATATTAAATATTTTGTTAAAAAAATATTTAATATCAAAGAAACTAACGTGTCCTCAACGTGTCGTGTCCTACTTTTTTTAAAATTGATGTGTCGCCATGTTTGTATCGTGTCGTATCCGTGTCGCGTGTCCGTGCTTCTTAGAACAAAATCCTCCAAGATCCGAGCAAGAACCAAGAAGAGTTGATCGTCAAGGCAACTACCATCAAGAACAGCATCTTGTGTAGCTAAGAAGGTACCGAGATCATGTTTTTGAACCAAGAATGCTCCAAGAACTGCGAGCTGTTTGACTAGACTTCAACCAAAATCCCTTGTTTCAACGTAGAAATGAAATTTTTGTAGATTCTTATAGTGATGAGGATGATATTCCAAAGCTAGAAGAAGACACAAGGCTACATTGATTCAATCAACACCAATATCATGGACCGAGTGAGTATAAGATGGAAATTGATCTCCCAAGCTTTAGAGGGAAGATGGAAGTCGAAGGTTTCCTAGATTGGGTGAAAAATGTTGAAATTTTTTTCAATTATATTAATACGCTGGAAAACAAGAATTCTGCTTGTTCTCGCTGCCTTAAGAATGAGGAGACAATTGACCACTTGTTTCTCCATTGTAATTTTGCCTCAAGATGTTGGTCTTTTGTGACGATTGATTGGTGATTGGCTTCTTGAAATGATTCAGGGAGGTTCTCTAAAAGGCAAAGGCAGGTTTCTTTGGTGTTGCGTGGGTAGAGTTTGTCTTTGGAGCATTTGGAAGGAAAGAAACCAAAGAACGTACAATGATATCTCTACCCCTTTTGATATATTTTGTGAAAATGTGTAAATTACTACGGCCACTTGGTGTCTTACTCATATGAGATTCTTTTATAATTACAGTGTAGCTCTACTGTCCAATGATTGGCAAGCTGTAATGTGGTAGTTCTCTAGGGGAGGCCTCCTTGGCCCTTGCCTATAGGTTGTATTTTCCTCTTGTTCCAATGCAAATGTTTCTTATAAAAAAATGGTGGGTTTGAAGCTAAAGGGGGGTGTGTCCGCTTGGTGGGATCAACTTGAGGTGAATAAACGCTGATATGGGAAAGACCTATACGCACTTGGGAAAAGATGAAGAAGCTTATGGGTGAGAGATTCCTACCTGTAAACTATGAGCAAATTTTGTACCACCAATACCAAATTTGATTTCATAGATTGGGATCCTGGACGAATCTCGGAGAAGATCAACCATACTTGGTGGCTTGGTATATTGGAGGATTGCGGTAAGTAATCAAAGAACAAGGCTTTATAGTCGATTGGTTTCCTTAATGTGGCGATTTCTACTGCCGCAACTATTGAAGAATAGGTCAATAACACCTGAAAAGAACTTTTGTCGTCTCCGTAGAAGTAGTAGCAGTTTGGCTTATTGATGGCATTAAGGAGTTGCTTTTGGCGCCCAACACACAAAAGTTCTTTAGGAAAACGGACTGCATGGATGGTTTCATTTGGATGTAGAAAACAACGAACAAAAGAGGGAGCTTCTTGGAGATAACCAAAGTTCAGGGAGGAGGCAGCAAAAGAAACTTAGTCGTTCCCTCTGGGGAAAGGTTGAAAGGATGGGAATCTTTCAAACAGCTGCTTCTAGACTTCATGAATGGAAAATCCCAGAAAACACCCGAGGTCCAGACGCCAAGAAAAATCCGATCATTTGCAAAAGCTGTCACCCGCCATCTAAGCTTCACGTGGCCTTTAGAGAGAACGCTCTTCTGAAACCAAGAGAAGTGAGAGCTCTAGATTGGAAGAGAACAGTTGTGGTGACAAAAAGAGACTTTCATGACGACTGGGGGAGAATTCTTGAGTTTATAAATAAATAGATAGAAGAGTCCTTCGTTATAAATGCTTTCCAACTTGACAAAGCCCTCCTTAAGTGCACTTCTGAAAAATCGGCGAGATTGCTTGCTAGCAATAAAGGTTGGGTCACCTTCGGCCCCATGACTTTAAAAGTTGAACTCTGGAATCCGCTAATCCATGGACGTTTTACTGTTGTTCCTTCTTATGGCGGGTGGATCAAGTTTAGGAACATCCCCCTTCATCTTTGGAGTCTGGCCACCTTTCAAGCAATTGGGAACTGTTTTGGAGGCTTTTTAGACTATGCAGATGCTAACTCTTCCCTCATTGAATGCACAGAAGTTGCCATTAAAGTGAAGGGGAACTGTTGTGGTTTCATCCCAGCGGAAGTGAAGATTGTCGATCTGGACCAGACGTTTGTTGCCCATGTTAGCACTTTTCAGGACAGCTCGTTGCTTGTCGGAAAGCAAGCGACGGTCCACAGCAGCTTCTCGCCGGAAGCAGCGGATTCTTTTTACAAAGGGAAGGAAGGTGCAGCTTTAAACCCAGTGGATATTTGGAGGGTGCAAGATGGCTTTTTTTATCCAACGGTTAATGTTTTTCACCCCCTTTCTCTTCCCAATGCTTCTGATTTTTTGTCTGTAGGAGGTGACAGTACAGGGGATGCTACTCCCCCTACTCTTTCATGCTTTGGTGAAAAAAGTACTGCCCTGGTGGATCCCACTACTAAGTTGACTGCCCGAGGTACAGTTTTAGCGGAAATTCCAGAAAAGGAAAGGCCCAGTCAAACACAAATGTGTGGTACTTTTGTGGGTCAAGATAAGAAAGGGAAGTCTGTCTCTTTCTCCAAAAACAACCGGCTGAGACTTTTTAAAAAAAAAGGTAATGTGTGCTCCACGACAAACGAAGTCTCCACAAAAGCCACCTCTTTGAACAAAAATGGGAAAGGTAAGGAGAAAGAGTTTGAGATGTTGTCTGACATATCCTTCTCTAGCTTTGATAGTGAAACCCAAAGCCTTGTTTTGGGGTCGATTGGAAACAACACAAGAACCATGATTGAACAAATGGATCCTCCTTCAGAATATTATCATATTTTCTAGGACGTAGAGACGGGCCAAACCTCTTTAGATAATGGTGGTTTGGTAGAAATGGGGCTGGAACACCAAGGAGAACAAAATCAGTGTGTGGAGCATGACTCGGATAAAGAAGAAGAGGAAGAGAAAAATTTTCCTTTCATTAGAAAAATGGTTCTGTACTTGCAAAAGCACAATTTGTGCATTAGAGCCATCCCTTCTAAAGCTGGGAGTGCTGCTAAGAAAAAAGAAGCTAGAGAACTCTGTAATCTTCTTAGATCATGGGAAAAGGAAGTGGAACACAAAAACAGTAGCTTAATCGAGTGCCGGAGGGTTACTCTATGAAGATTATCTTGTGGAATGTTAGAGGGATTGGCGCCCCCTCCAAAAGAGTGCTGATTAAAGACTTCCTTTGTAAGGCTGACCCTGATATTGTTTTGTTGCAGGAAACCAAACTTGTTTCTGTTGATAGAAAGATTATTAAATCTACTTGGAGTTCTAGACGTATTGGCTGGATTTCTTTAGATGCAGTGGGTTCCTCTGGCGGTATCCTGGTCATGTGGAGTGAAGATAGTATTTCCTTAGAAGACTCTGTCTTGGGTAGCTTTTCAGTCTCGGTGTTAATTAAATACAATGATGGTTTTC